CATTAAAACAGGTTATACTGAAATTCATATTTATTATTTTGTGATTTTAACAAGTAATCATATTGAACACTAACTGAACACAATCCTTTTTTAGCATTTTAAGATCGCCATGCATGGAAATTGTTTTATTTGAACTCTGAATACTTTTACTTAAAACTATTATTTAAAATATACTCCCAAAATTTATTCTAGCTTAAACGTATAATATTTGTTGAAATAAAATATACTTTCTGGATACAACTTTCACATTTTTAGTTTATAGGGGGGGGGGGCTAGGTTTCAGCATTGCCTCAGGCCGAAACTTTTCTAGCTCCGGCACTGGCTGATGGTGCGCCCATTGGCGTCGAGGCACACTAACTACTTGCACGTTCCACGTTTGCCGGCTCTCCACCGACTAGGAGCGGCGCAACACTGACCTGACCTGTCACACAAAATAGGGCACTGCGAGGCTAACAGGCACGCCATCTCTATGCAAATTTAATCACTTCTTATATTTTCACTGTTTTACTCGTCCACCGATTTTTAATAGAAAAACAAACGCACCACGCACCACGCACGCACGCACGCGCGCGCGCGCGCACACACACACACGCACACACACACACGGGTTTGCTCTAAAACAATTAATTTCGTACAAACATATCTTATTCTAGGTATAGTACTTAAATGATAATAGGCAATATATTTGTAACCTTAGTTTTATTTATTCAAAAGACGATATATTGGATGGCCTTCAGTTCTGGATGTTTAATTTATACTACGCGTCTTTTACTTCAAAATGGTTTAATAATAATAATAATAATAATAATAATAATAATAATAATATTTATTGAGTCACATATACAATTACAATCGTGTATGACGAGTCAATATGATGCCTTGGGTGGAGAGAGCGAAGTTACATTACTGTTCAGGATCAAACAAGGGGCCATCTCAGCAATTGCTCAAAGGACCAGGGAAACTGAACAAAACCTGATCGAGATGGGGTCATTGGCCTAGAAGTACAATACTTGTTACAGGTTTTTTTTGTTTTTTTGTTTGTTTTTTTCCTTCTTTTTTCAATTTGTACACGTAGTCCAGAGAGAAACAGTGTCAGGCATTCTCCTTCTATTTCACAGGAGGCAATATGCCAATTTTTTTTCTTTGCTTCAGCTTGAAACAGTTAAATGAAACAGAAAGTCTATTGGGATAAGAAATTCTTATTTATTTATATTTTTTAAGGGAAATGTTATTTGAAAATTCCTTTACAGTGTAGAACATGTTAAGAAGGAAAGCTTTCAATTTACTTTTAAATGTATGAATTGTGTTTATGTCTTTAATATCATTGCCTAGTTTGTTGTAAAGTGTAATGCCCTCTATTAGGGTACTTTTTTGATACAGTTTCAGAATGGGGAACATGTAGGTTATCCTTTTGACGGGTGTTGTAGTTGTGTACATCAGAATTTAAAGTAAAAGTGTCTTTGTTTTACATGAGAATTTTCTTTGTGAAGACCACTATTTCAAATATATACATGCACGGTAGAGGAAGAATCCTTAGTTTATTAAACAAGGGTTTGCAAGACTCCAGCTTATGAGTGCTGGTCATTGTTCACAATATTCTTTTTTGGATAATAAATGTGCGAGTTCTTTCAGGGGCATTTCCCCAGAATATTATTCCATATTTTAGATGTGAGTGCACATCTGCAAAATACATTGTTCGAAGTGTCTCAATGTTGGAGCTTGACCTGAGGGTGTATCTTGTTAAGATTTGAGATGCGAGTGTTCCATTTTAGGTTTAATGTTCAAAATATTCAAAAATGAAAGCTCACATTGATGTAATCAAGGCATAGTTGTGTGAATTTTTTCTTGTTTGTCTGTATCATGTGCTACAGATACTGTAACAGTTAAAATTTCTTCATGTTTGTTTCTTTTGTAGAAGAGAAATGACTACTGTTCCCAATCAAAGAAATAATTTCTGATACGCACGACAGGTGCATCGTTTGAATTAGTTTAGACTTTTTTCAAATGATGGCTGAAATGTTGAGCAAAAATTTCAAAATTGTAATATTAAATTCAATCTATCTTAATAATAAGTATGTGCTGTCTAGCATCACTAGTTTGAAAATATGTATATTTTGCGTAATACATAAAAAATGGATTGTCTCTAAAACGAATCCAATTTTTTCCTCTATTTTTTTTTTGCATTGTGCTTAGTACGCTATAAAAAAATGATGTAGGTCAAATGTTCGTTGAACTCTGAATTTTCGAAAATTACAAAAGTTACATATGAGGAAAAGCATTTGAAGTTGTATTATTCCAGAAGTGCAAACTGTTTATCTAAGAGTGGTGATGCAACATCATCAAAATATTGATGCTTAAAATTGAAACATCAATGTTAAAAAATCAATCCCAAACTATTTGTGTTTAAAACTGAATTAATGAGCACTGAAGTTCATACAGGAGGTATTTAATTTTAAAGATCTCATTTATTATTTTTTAATTGAGATTTAACTGACAAAACAAAGTCAAATAATCGTAAGGACAATTAACAAAACTTTTGGATTAACTGATTCGATAACTAAAAGATCACTTGGGTCTGAAGAATATTCATTTTATGAATATCTGGAATTACTATAGAATTTTGTCACAATGGACTTCGATTTAAAAAATTTTGTCTTCATAAAATCATCACTGTTAAAAAATGTTGCATTCAAAAAAATAGATGTTAAATTCATAGATGCTTTTATAAAAACCTTTAGCTTTTCTCATTTTGTTTTTTGTCTTCCTATACCTATTTCTTCTTCCTGCTAATCTAGTTCTGAATTACTCTGGAGAATCTTGTTTTTTGTATTCTTTAGATAGGTGCCACAACATATTTTTTTCCCATTTATTGTGCTTTTGACTAATAAGTATTCCTAGCAGAAGTCATCTCCTTTATGCGATTTCCAGTTGTTGTTTCTCTCTTTTTTATTGGCTGTACTTCTAATCTATACGTTGAATTGAATTGAATTAATGCCTTATTTTACGTGGCGAGACTCGGGCCATCAGGCCCGCTCTTCCGTGACCACGCAAATTTCGCTATGCTCCTTTCCCAACTAGCAGAGAAAGGAGGTATTTCTTGGGCGAGAAACTGGTGATTTGAATTTAGCTTAGGAGGCGTCATTTAGGCTTCGGGATCTTTTACATGCAAGTAAATCTACTAACATTGAACAACCTCCGAAGGATTGTTTCGCCCTCAAAAATCCACGGCTTCGATCGGGGTTTGAACCCGCTAATCGTTTCATCATCGCCGCCGCAAGCGTTAACATTTGTTAACATACGTTACGTTACATTTGAAAGGATGGTACTTTCTGTTTTATGAGTTTTATGACTGTGTTAATGTCTTTCTCAAAAAGTTTATAAAATTCCCCATTCTTTTGAATTTTTAGATTCTATTATCAATTTCAATTGACTTCTTTTTGTGACCAATTTATGTTTAACAAAGGGTTACTCTTATTTGTCTCTTTGATTGATCCTATTACTATTTTCCTTCTTCATGAATATTTTTGGAAAGTCATCACTTTACTTTTATTTATTAAAATTTCATTTTATATTCTCTTATTTTCCAGTGTGTGAACAGTTTTTTCTGTAGTGCATCCTCTGAGGTCTTATCACTATGGGGTGAATTTTGATGACCCAAAACATGACAAAAATGATCAATAAATTGCTCTTAAAATGTTTTTAAAAAGCCCTAAAAGCAAAGAAAATGACATAAAAAATTTAATCATACCACAACTCAAGCTCATGGATGTTACTAATGTAATTGAGGTTTCTTCTCTGCATTCAAGTGAACTCGGCCTGCAAACTTTTGGTTTGAATGTTCTTTATCACAAAATCTCTGTCTTTAGTTTTTGCAAAATCAGCCAAATTGTCAATCGCGCCAATAGCCAACACAGATAACATATTCACTTACAATTTCTGAGCGAAGAAATCGACTAAGCTTCACAGAAATTCTATCAGAACATGTTGCATCATGAAAATATTATATCAATGAGAACCATTAAAATTATTTTAAAATTAATGAAATTGATAAAAAAATGCTTTAAAAATGATGGAAAAAGTGGAAAATGACTTTAGTCACAATTAATGAAGAACGCCAAAAGAATCATATAAAAATGGGTAATTTCCTTTTCTCATAACATAAAATTAAGGTCTACACTAAAGAGCATTAATTTAAAGTGGGAAAAATCACACACACTCACACCCTCACACTCTCCATTAAAATCCGCCCTCTACTTATCAGTATCTGGTAGTCTGTGAACATTCCATTTTCATTTTTATAACTTGTATTCTTTTGTCACATTGTGGATGTACATGTGGATATTGAATAAATGTAGGGTAAGCTCAGTCTTATTTCAGTCTTTTGTCAGTATGGAACATTTTTTTAATGCTTTTCATTGTTCATTAATTTTTACCCCTCTAGAGTATACTAATCTTTACTTAAATACTTTTTGGATATTCCTAGTTATAAGTTATAGGTTCCATAATTTATCTCTGTTAATATTGCCATTGGCTTTCTTATAGTCAATAAAAATGTATGTTGAGATGTTTTGTTTCTGCCTTTTGCCCATTAGATTTTGTATCATAAGAATTACTTTATTATTAGTGCTACTTCCTTTTCAGAATGCACATCATTGCTCTCTATGATATTTTTACCACAATAGCCCAATTGGTTTCCATTGTTTGCCAAGAGTTTTGAGACTGTTCAGATTAGCGAGATACAATGATAGTTGTTGCAGTTCTTCCTTAAACTTTTCTTGACAATTTGTTTGATTGTATCTTCCTCCCAATCCAGTGGTGTTATTTCCACTTACAGTACTGTTTTGAGTAGATCTTAAAGCTCTTCTTTTAAATATTTTCCTACACATTTTATCTGCTCAAGAGTTGATTTGATCTTTTCTGAGGCTTTCCCTGAGTTGCAAGTCTTAAATGTTTTTCATCATTATATATCTAGGAACAATTTATAAAATGAAAAAAAAGGAGACAATAGAAGATATTTCTTTAATAAGAAAAAAAAAATCACTAATACAACCATTCATTAGCAAAATGTAAATAAATTTCAGAAGTAAACAACACATGAAAACAATCATTAATAAATATAAATTGATGCAGATTAGCTCCTGTTAAGAAAAGCACAGTATAAAAATAGTTAATACTTCCACTAAATTTTAATTTATTATTCGGATTTTGGCATCCACACTTCCACAAAATTTTCTGTGCTTCCCATAGCTAAAACATTACTCTTGTAGTCAAACTGAAAAAAAAAGAACAGTTCACCAAATTTGTATGGTTTCAATAAAGTAGAAAATCTCATGAAAATTTGCAGAAAGCTGAAATGATTCTTAAGAATCAAAATTATCATTTCAAAACTTGAAACTTACATTAGTTATTTCACCACCTTGAGATTTGAGCACTGTAATGGGCTCCAACTTCCGAGTTGGTGCAAGAATCCGCATTGTGCCATCAGAGGAACAAGTCATTACACTGCCAGCAGTATGGTGAATTCCTGTCATTTTCCCTGTGTGCCCAACATCATATGACTGAAAAGGAAAGTGAGAGAATCTACAATCTCATCTCATTTCCTTTCAAGTCAACAACAAATAGATATCACAGCTCAAATTTTAGGGTAATTTATTTTTAAAGTAGTTTCTGTTATACCTCTACTACAGTAAATTCTCCTTTATTTGGATTCATTAAATGAACCCGTCCTCTTACATCACCAACATATATAGAATTATCTGCATATGATAAACACATAGGATAAGCGTTGCTTCCCTGCAAATCAGTTTAGAAAGTTACAATTGAAACCTTACTTCCCAATATAAACCGTGGGTAAGGGGCATTTGAAGGATAAAATAAATACTTGCCACATTTCCATCAGAAAAGTTTATCCTTTTAAATACTTTACATGCTCGTTGATCCCAAACAAGAATTGTTCTATCTTCACTCGCAGAAACAATGTAACCATTTACCATTGTCAATGCAAGAACAGCACCAGTGTGTGCTTTATAAAAGGCAATTTTTTTATCACTTGCCCTTGGGTCAAATAACATAACCCGGCGATTAAAGAGACCAACAGCCATAGTTGAAGGGCTACAAGCTATAGCCAATGCAGGTTGTTCACACCTACACAAATCAAAAATGGAAAACAGATTTTTTAAGATCTACAGAGATAGTCAAATACTCCAATCAGAATAGACTCATTAAATGTAACTTAATATCGTCCATGTTTTATTTAAAAAAGAAAAATGGTTCCCATTCTTTGCGTTTTTAAGGATTTGAACATTAGTCACACATTTAGATAAATAGGTGCCCATGCAAGAAGTACAGATTTTGCACCCCTATTTCGATACTTCAAAATTTTGTTGGTTATTACTTGATAGTAACAGACATATTTTACACACTAATTTATTTACATGTTTTTTATTTTAATTTTTTTCTAGTAATAACAAATATAATGTAGTATAGGAGTCAGTGCTGCGTTCATGCAAGGGCCCCCAATAATTCAGGGCCCCTGATAGTTCACTAAAAAATTATTTTATACTGAATTTTTCAAAAAATAAAATAGATTGCCTTATAAAAAGCTAACGTATGATTAAACAATATGCAAAAAATTGGCATAATGGAGTGGTGTGTCGCGTGTTACTGGATGATCTTTATAATACAGAATGTTGCTGGTTGGTGCGAGAATGTCTCTCAGTTATGAGAAGTTTAGTTCTTTTTAGGGAAACTTTCCTTTATTTAATTTGTAGTATTTTTCAATGTAGTTATAAATCTATTATTCTTACTTCTACATGCAAGTCTTTAAATTTTTTGTTTGAATAATTCTACAATGAAGCACCAAGAAATACTTTCAAAATGTTAAAAAAAATTACAAAATACCATGTAAATTTATAGGATTTTCTTTATATTTCGGCATCCAAATTTAGGGGGGGGGGGAGCAAAAGTAAGAATAGGAGACCCCCAAATTAACCTAGGCCTAAGGGCCTCTAATGATGTTAAAACGGCTCTGATAAGATTTTTAAAACACAGAAATAGTTACTATCAAAGTTTACTGGTATTTGTAGTAACTAGTATTTTTAGTAAATGTAACATTATATCAACTGAAAGAATTGTTAAATAACTCCTTTTAATAAATGTATAATAAAATGTTTAATAAATGATAAAGGAAGTCTGTTGTACTTCTCATGGCAGTGAATAACACAACCACACCACCCCTGGGCAAAACAGAAGCTTGGGCTCGCATACATGTGCTAATATTATTCTGATGAATGCAGTTATTTAATATAAACTGGCGGTGCTAAAACGGCAGGTGCTTTCTTGTCCATATTTTCACGCAAATTACACGAAGAATGTATAAAAGTTTCGAGAAATTGTACATGACCTTATTTCAAATTCTATCTCTAAGACACACATATCAACCAGGGTAAAAAATCTGTTTAATATTTCAGTTGTAGAAAAACTCAGAAAAAATTGTATACTTTTGCAATTTTTGGAAAATAAGGGATTTTAATGAACACACTATTTAACAAAAAACAATGGAACCATATTTTTGAACTTTTGGAAAATGTCCCATGGGGTGCAGGTAAGGTAACCACCAAAATTAAAATATCGGCTCCACATTCATGGGGCAGCGACATCAGCCAGATCGATTGTGGAACGGGTCACACACGGATGTTCCGATTTTTCGTTCGATTTTCGGGATCAAGGATCCACAACACATTGATTCTGGCTGTATCACGTGATAAGAGGATCCCCCCCCCCCTAAACTTAGCAACTGCATTTATCATCTTTTAGTCACCACAGCCCTGTAATAGTTTCTCTGCCAAAAATTCGTTGTTTTTTCACGCAGCATTACAAAACTTTCTTTGTACTTCATAATGAAAGTAAAAAAAGGTGTATGAAAGTATTTACTTTTCTGTTTCAGAGCTTGAAAACTACAATTATTAGAAAGAAAGAAAGAAAGAACAATGCTGCTGCTCTTGTCACAATGATACACAATGCATCAAAATAAATCATGGGTATAAAAAACGTTGCTTTAAGTGCAAAGTAAATGTTCATTAAATTTTTCCTTAAGGGTAATTTTGGAGAGATTGGAAATCATTGATGTATTACATAAAATTAACAATATTTCTCTAAGTTCACAAATAATATGATAAGACAGTAAGATCCAGAAATATAATTTTTTTCTTCAAAAACAAACTTTTGCACCTTAGGACAACAAACTTAACAAAGGATTTGTAATAGGTACATAATGTCTGAAAACTAATTTCAGGTATCAGTTTCATGATTCAAAGGTATCACACAACAAAACATATATGAAAGTACCTATCTATAAAGTTAATTTTTTTACATCAGTTATTATGCATTCAAATGAAATAAATCAATAAATTATGAATATTCGGCCATTGATACTAAAATCACATACTCCCTTATTTGCACATCAGTTTTACATTAAAAAATATTAATTGTACCACAAAAACTTTGCAAGAATAGTTTAAGGCCAATGGCCTAATGCAGTGTTGTTCATACTCTGAGGTGCATCTCCCCAGGTAGGCACCATGGTTTCAGAGGGGAGGTGCAAGAACTTCGAATTTTCAGTCATGGCAGTAATCAAGACAGAATATAGATGAATAGATCTCCAGAATGAGATGTGTATTACCTTTTCTACATTAGTGCTGTTGTGCTCTAGTGTTCCAAATTAGGGATTTGTTGAATTGACACCAAACAAGCCCATCCATCTCGCTTTTCTGTCATGTTCGTTTTTTATAATTTTCCTTACACATTTCCTCATTTTTTCAATTAATTAAATTCAGTAATTACAAGTGAATTGTGCTTGCAATAATTGCCACTTGCCATAATTGTTTTGTACGCAGTCAGTATATAATTAAAAGTACACAAGATGGCCTTAACAAGATGGCCTGGGAAAACATTTCATTGTAATTAGCAATTTAATTTTAATGAGGGGAGGTGTGTGTGCAATATTGTTTACCTGAAGGGAACCGGCAGCAAAAAGTGTGATAACCACTGGCCTAGTGGGTAGTGGTCACAGTGTGCCCCTCCATTGCTGGTGCCCGGTTTCAATCCCAGATGGTCCCAAATGGAATTTGGGGTGGACAAAGGTTTCCCCTGACAACAATCATTTCCCACCCTAATCATTAACCATCCTTCCTCTCAGGATCCAAGGATCACAGTGGTGTCTGGGTGATAACCAAGGAACTAGCTGAGAAGGGCTATAGCTACCTCAGGGGAAATGGTGAAGGAGAAGAAGATATCCCCTCCCAAGACACTAGTTACAGATGATAAGAAGTGGATGTAATGCCAGATAGGGTGAGGAATGCAGCTTTGTCGAAGCTGGCCCCTTATGGGGAAGAAACAGTTTAGAGTTTAGTCTAAGATGGATCCTTGTAAAAGATGTACACACAATTACTTATACAGACTTTATTTCTATGAAAAAAATAAATAAAAACCACTAAAGTTCTCTAACAAACTTCAAGGACTTGATGATGAGCTAAAATATTAGCCCATATCACCAAGTTGGTAAAGCTTAATTTTTTTGTGCAATTTTTAAAATTTTTTTTAAACATATGTAAATAAAATACGGATTTAAAAAAAAATCAAACTGTGTCAAAACAATAAATGTACATAAGGATCACTTATTGGATAATATACATAAATATTCAACTGGGGTGGCTAAAGTAATGTTGGTTGGGTTTTTACTTTCTCGTAAACGTGCATGTATATGGAGTAATATAATACTAATTAAGTATACATGTAATATACAGAAAGTTATGGAATGCTGTAGAAAATAAATTTAGAGATTTCAACACATATACACATTGTGGAGACCCTTGTTACCATACTACTTTTTTTTCCTACCAAAACATGTCTGTGAACACCTCTAACACCTAAAAGGCTTGTGTGATTTTTATCAACAGGACATTTTGCAATCAATTTGTCTCATCTCAATGCCATGCAATTTTGAAAAATATTTTTTAATTTAGTGGGTACTTTTCATTCACTCTCTATTACAGGACACAAAATTATCTCAAAATTGGGACCAATTTTTGGTTGTTAAATTTCTTGTGAAATTAAAATGTAATACATTTCTAAAGATAGCATAGTTGTGATTTCAACTTGACTTTGAATTTTTGAAAAATGTAAATGTTAGTACTTATTTATCCCGTTTTACAACTACTTATTTAAGATAAACATTTTTTCTTCAATAATGGAATATGTTCTTCACAATTAGTTCTTTCATTAATGTCCAGTACATTTTTTATACATAGTTTTCCTGAAATTTTGAGTATAATGTGTGGAATATTAAAAATAAGATTTTCTCAAAAATTGCTCTGAATTTAATCTTTAAGTTTTTGTACAAATAGTGCTAAATACATTGAATAATATAAAACAAGGAATCAAATTGCCTCCAATTACATGAGAATGTGAATGCAGCAAGTCTATAACAACGTCAACATGTTTACTATTTATTATGTTACGTAAAAAGAATTTCTTTATCCTCTTCCACAAAACAAATTTTCAATTCACTTGGATAAAAAACAAAGCTAAAAATGTAGGTTTTGTAAATTTTTAATATGTAGGCTGCAGGTTACACACTGAATGGATTTTTATATGGTTTTGTTAATTTGATGTAATAAATACAATCATATCTAAAGGTTCTGAATTATTGAAATTCCCAGATCAGATCAACATTTTGAGTTAGTGAATAAATATTTTCTCTTAAAAATATGTAGAAAGATTATTAAAATAGCACTTACATAAAAACACAAGACTCTTCAAAACAGTTGATATCCCATGACTTCACAGTGGCATCCCAAGAACAGGAAAAAAGTTTGCCATCGAAATCCTCTAATTTCCAGATCCAACCTCTGTGAGCATTTTCCACAACCTTTTTAGGATTTGGATCTACACTGCTTTTGCATTCCTGAAGGTCCCAAGCAACAAGATTGTGGTCCCTTGACCCTGAAAAGCACAATGTACCTGACTGAAAAGGAAAAAAACAAAGAGCATTAAAAAATAATGATTTTCAATTGTTAAACTTTTCCCTTGACTTAAAAAAATTGTGTTGCATCTCTTGATGCAAAAATTAAAATGTTCTTAAATTAAGAATAAAACAATATAAAAACATTCACATTATTTAATTAATTTTTAGTAACTTAATAAATAAAGGACACAAGTAGGAGTAGGAGTCAAAGTCAAAATCTCCCACTACATTTAGACTTACATTACAGAACTTCCAAGTGAAGAGACAGGTCAGTGAATGATAAATCAGTAAATTTTTATTGTTATACAAACAGACCCCACAGTCGTAGGACCTTTGGGCATTATATAGAAGCATGCAATAAAGCAATTTTGGAAAATGTTTTGATAAAATGTACTATTGATTGATTTATATTTTAGAATTAACAACAATTGACAATTAACTCTGTAAGAGGGCCAGTTAAATTGACAGATGGAAAGTGCAATTCTAACTTAATATAATTTAATGAAGAATATTCACCACTAATTTTTAGAACAGTCTATGATTAAAAATTTTATTTATATATATATATATATGAATAGTTTTTTTATAAATAAATTGTGCAGATAAAAAATAATTACTTCTACAGAATGGCATGTAAGATAGGAAATTTTGAATTTGTATATTACACTGAGGAGCAGGCACACATGCTAGCCATAACAAATGCTACATTGCTGCAATACACATTACCATCATGCAGAACTTGAAGAGTGCATTTTGAGTCATTCATTTTCGAAAGAATTGATATTTTTGTGAAATCTTTGTTATTTTGTTAATTATGAAGTCCTTAAAACCCATATTTCTGGAGCTTGCTCAAACATGTAATGTTTCTTAGCATATTCTCTACAAGATGAGAATTTTTTAAAACTATTACATTCACTTTTCTGAACCTATTACATTTTTACAGCTCTTTTGGGCACCTCTCGCTATTACACAGGTGATTAGAAACTTGCAGAATCTCAAAATTCATGTAAAACTAAATTGACATTTGATATTCTCCACAATTTAACAGCAATAGGTCTAAGTCTTACTGCTAAATAAATTCTTAGCATTATTATAATGTTTACAAGCACACAATACCAGATTAATAATGCAGTAATACTATTCTTGCATTATTAATTATTATTATAACAGCAATAATAATAATAATAATAATAATAATAATAATAATAATAATAATAATAATAATAATAATCATATGTATGCCTATATGATGTAACCTAGTTCAGGGCCTGTGGCTAAATATTTTGAAGTTTTAAATGCATTAAGCTCAATCCTTAAAACTCAAAGGCTTTAAATGATAGTTGTGGATAGAAGAAAATGGTAAGATGATTTTAAGATAAAACCATAATTTTTAAGAATATCAGGAAAAGACTCCAAGAAAGAGGGGGTATTGCCTTACAGAGTCCTTTGAATTTTTGCAGAATTTACAAGGACAGGCAAGCTTGGCAAGAAAGAGAACAAAATCAGTTGTACTCAAACAAATGGAAAAATCAATAAAAGCATTGCAGTCATCTTAAGGTTGAATGAAGACTGCAGAAAGAGTATGTCGTGAAGAACTATTTAAATCTTTGGCAAATTGTGTTGATTCTTCGAAATATTGTATATTTTGTCCAATCATTTATTTAGCAAAGGTCCATGTTTATAAAGATTAACATTAATACATGTGTTCTGAGTTTTAGGTTTTCATTATTCTTGACATTTTGAGCGTGTGAGTTTGCCCATCCTCAGGAGATGTATAAAGTTACATTACAGTTATTAACATGCCAAATTTGGCATGCTAATCTTTGCATTTTGCATTGCAATCTTTGCATGTAATTTAAATTTAAATTGTAACTAAGATATTAGCAAAAAATCTATTTGTGCTTACCACCGGACCAATATTTCCCAATTTCTTAGAATTTTTTCAACAGAACATAAATGATTAACATGAATTATAAATTCATAATCTAAAAGCCACAACCGCTTGCAATGCATGTTTGAAGTTTTAACGATTCATAAAACAGATGAACACAAGATAAATAAAGTTTCCACAACATATTTATACATTGTGACATTATTTAATCCTTTGAGAGAATTTTTGCCCAATTTTATTGTACCCATCAATGTTTTCAGGGTTATTAAAAACGTTCATTTATTACAAGCACACTAAAAATACACGCTCACCTTCATGAGGAGGACAGCATCTACTGAAGCATAATGGATATCTTTTAAGAGGATTCTTTTCATGTCTTTTTCTTTATTTTTCCACCGGTTATGCTCATCTTCTATTTTAGCACAAGCTTCTTGCCAATTAAATTCATCAGGATTATCAACTAAAGGTTAAAACATACAAACATTATATTTAATAATACAATGTTTTATTACAATGTTCAATCCAAAAACAGTTGCAAAGTCTTTCTAGTTCTATACTTAAAAATCTTTACTTTAATGTGAAAATCTACATTTACCTGGTAAAGCAGGATATACACTCTCATGATGTTTAGCTATACGAGATTTCCACACTGATTCATCACTCAAAACGTCATGGAAGTGTTTACACACCAGACTTAAAGAATTTGCTATAAATCGAGCATCCAAAAAAGAGCAGATATACAGAAAAATCTGAAACAGAAATTATATATTATTATTTGTAAACTCAAAGTAAATATGAAAATATAAGAACACACTTCACTTACTTCCACAGGGATGTTAAGAAATGCACAGTCAGAGTTTTCCTCCGACATGTCTGTGTCAGTTTCACATCTTGTTTCAGACACCTGGTTATCACTCATTGTAACATTCTGAAAAACATTCATTAACAACAGAACCTACAACACCAACACTCAACATCCTTTTTAATACATAACTGGGATAAATTTCACTGGCATTACTGCAAGTATCGAATATTATTCATTCATATGGCTCAGATAACCAAGCTGCCTGGCAACCTAATTAAATGCTCCAATAAACATCACAGCATCAGGAATTTTATTAACAATCGACACATTACGAAGAAAATGGATTATTCAAGTGTATTAATGCTTTATATTTACGTACAATGAAGGCAGACAATAAATAAAACAAAAAAATTTCATATTTTGACACAAAGGATTAAGTAATTTAAGCTGTCAAAGCCATACTTTGAAGACAATATTTATCATCCTTTTATGAAGACAGACCAATTTAGCAACGAAAGAAACGTACAGATTGCAAAATGTTACCCGAATTTCACAAATAATCTTGTAATGGGTTCATTGCTCGAAGTCGTCTTCGGCTGCCTTCATACCCAAGCCATTGAAGGCGATTGAAAGCACCGGCCTACCGTCGCCCACTGGTACCACTTCTTGACTTCTAATATGAAAAAGGCAATGTCACGGGTGGTAACGAGAAGAACAAATTTGAAACACACAGTTGGGTATTCTTACAGAGCATTTCCCGCTGTGTAGCCAATAAACACTGGATGCTCATATGGCGAGGGAATTTTAAATGTAACTAGGAAGGGTAGAAGGATGTCTGCATCTTCATAGACAGCTATGTGGAGCACTCACTGGTAGCTGGTAGTCTAACAGTGGTTGTACTGAAATTTATACTACAGTTCAACTGTGTCTATACTGCTTTTGTGAAGGCACTGTGACTTTTGGAGAATCCGCACGTTGTTGCCAACAAGACATGTGTGCTTGCCCGCTCGCTCGAGAACTGTTAAAATTAAGGCTATCTTTCCCGATATACGCTTCTACTGAAAAAAAAGTTTTGAAAAGACTGCAATTACTGCTGGAAAAATACAACAGAAATAAAGATAACACAGTTAAATCTGCCTAAACCGGAACCTGTAAAAGCCGGAAATCTGTCTTAACCAGAAATTTCATCGACCCAAGAAGCCTCTTTTAATTTAGCATAAAACGGAACCTCTCCAACGTGGAAACGGAACGGTTTTTCACGTCCTACAGGAAAAAAAACTTTATAAAACGGAATTCCTGGACATTTATGCAATTGTCAGAGGGACGAGAGATGTTCTTAACTAAATAAAAGATTGTTTTAAATTCTCAACTCTGCCCATTCTTCGATGTAAGCAGCAGGGACTGGCAGTCCTAGGGAGGGAAATGGACTCGCAGCAGAACACCGCGGAAGCGTTTCGCAAGTTACACACTCCAGCAGTGAAGAAACACACACTAGCGCGCCACTTCATGTAATGAACTGCACGCTACGACAAACTAGAACAAAAGCATATCACGTGGGGGGTTGTGCAGTGCCGGTTCAAGAGATTGAGATTTGGTGGTCAGGGTATGATCCAAATTTTACACTAGCAATTAAAGTCACAACAAACTGTCCAAACCGCTATGCATACACATAAGACGTTTGAGCGGACTGTATGATTTGCGGTTCGTGCAAGACAGTGTGAAGTCCTGAGAGAGCTCATATGAGCAGTGATCGGAAAGTGGTTTCAGGACAGCTTCCGGTTCCAATCAGATGCACATACATATTGCTCATCAACACGTTTATTCCATAACATGTAAGTCACTGGCAAAATACATGAATGTACGTACAGTTTAGATGGTTCAGTTGCAGTCAAAACACTTCAGTTAACACAAGTTTTTCTCGTTGTGAGAGACCGAGAGAGATTACATATGAGGTTTCACGCTTCATGCAATTGAAATGAAACTCGTATCTTACCAGACAATTGACAAGTACAATTAACAAATGTCATTTTCCAAAAGAGCCGGGAGATGTACCAGGGAAAAACCGAGTCACCAGAAGTCCTAAATCACGGACGTCGTGGTCGAAATGTCCAGAAGAGAAGTCCGTAGAACTATCGCGTAGTCGTCACTCAAATTTCTATTCCGCATCTTCCACTTCACGTCTCGCCAGAAGACGAAGTGGCGATTCCAAGCAGTACATTTGTGCATTTTTGTGAACGCACGAAAAGTGCAATGCGCGTTCACGCCACCGCGGTGGGACCATTCCTACCCTTACGAGCATCTATGCCCAATCCTGTAACATGAAGAAAAACAGGTCAAAAGATGACTTTAGCCTACCGGCGCGCGCATTGCGTGTTTTGAAATACTACGTTTATGCATCAGACTCATTTCTCTGTTTCAGGTTGCTCTTACTCCAGAAAGTGCTCCGGTCGCCTATACTTCGCCCTTTGATCGGGTTGGTATGAGGCGATCGCGGAAATGAGTTCATTTTCCGAGTCAGCTGCTTTCTCAAAATTTTTTTACTAAAGTTTTTATGCGATTTTTAGCAGTGGCATTGATGCTTCGCGATGTAAGTTTTCTATACGAAGTGTATCTTAGGGGCGCAGAGGGCGGCCCTGAGACACTCGTTTTGAAACTACAAAAGTGGCGATTCCCCGCGGTGGGCCGCTTATACTCCCCCTCCCCGCCCCCCCCCCCCCGGGCCGAGGGCTCGCCGGCGAGTCGTTGCATAGAGCCCATTGGCGCGCCCCGTGAGTAAGCGGTGGCCATGCCCCAGCCCGGCCGCCGCAGGGCGACCTCTCTTGGGCGGTGGCCCAAGCCCTTGTGGCGGCCCCTTCAAAGGCGCAGTATCGTTGCGGATAGGAGTTTTAAACATTAGCGGCGGCTGGCTTTGATTAATTTAGTTACAAAATGTAAGAACTGTATGTGACGTACGAGAGAGAAATTCATAAGATGGTCAAGCAAATCATGTAATTTTATTTTACATTCAGGTTTCTTTAACAATGATATAGTTGAGGGTATGCATCTTTTAGAATTTAATATAGCATACATTTTTTTCAGTCACATTTTGGCGTGAATTTCAATTATATCCTTTTAATTATTTTTCACTATCCTCCAGAGTGTTAAAAATCTGAAAAAAAGTACGTTATAGAATGTTATGAGACAATTTCTAGAGAGAAAAAACTGAGGACAGTACCGCCAACATTATCAGTGGAAAATCAATTTCAAAAAAAATATTATTTTTTTCTGTGTGAATTTAGCTTAAAAATGTTGGTTGAAAAAATACCTTCACATTCAACTTTTCTCCTCCGATTGTGGAATTTTCTTCAGCCTGATACATACAATTGAAACGGAAAGAAAATAAAACATGAAAAACTTGTTTTTCGTTGCTTTCTGCAATATATTGCCCTAGAAAGTATTTTTTTGGAATATCTATGTCATTTTTATATTTTTTCTTATGAGCATCGCGATTATCGGTTTGCTTTAGGAGCATTTCACATCGCCTATTTCGTCTAATATCTTTGGTCGTTCCTAATTGTTATCTCTCTTAAAATTATGCACAAAATAAAAAAAGTTTCGGTGCAATATTGCGTGCAATATTGTGCAACTTTAAAAAATAACAAAACATGATTTTTTCTCAAACACGTAGTCGTTTAATAAAAAAAAAAATTGTTAGTACCTATTGTGCTAATGTACTCCATGAGATTATATAAACGCCAGATTGCTCTGTTCTTTTGTTTGTTCAAAAATTACACAATTGTGATTTTTTACTTGCCTGTGTGTACATGCAATTTGTTCACATTATTGCATTTATGAGTACAACATCATCAAAAATTCAAAAGTTTTCTTTGTAAACGAGCTCAAAATTTCCCATTTATAGAAACACTCAAACACTATTTTCTCAAAAACAACTTCAAATTTGTTCTTCAATTTTTTCGCACGGATAGTGCTAATTGCACTGTTTATACAATATAACACCCGTGACTACTGTACAATATTTTTGTTTAAATAATTATTTAATTCGAACATTAATCAATATTTAAATCAATAAAAATAAAAATTTTAAATCAATCCAAATAAAGGAAGGTAAACGAAAACTTTAGGTCTGGAAAGGGGCATGACCCCCAAGCCTCTCCCTCTCGATTCGCCAGTGTGAACCTGAGTTCGCAGGTGGAACCAAATGTTTCATACATTTCATTTTATTATAAAACAGCACTGTAGCATCATCTCTAGGGTCATGACAATATTTACTTCGAATCGTTTTCAAAAACAAAAGATAGCGTCTTGACGTATGTAACTGTGTTATAGTGCTGTATGAAATAGTGCTCTTTTAAATCCAATTTGTCGACGGAATTCGCAGCTAGAACCTAAATAAACCGAAAGAAAGAAAGTATCATTGTAAATAACAAATATGATAAGATACACGGATCTCAGCAACCGCATAATATAGCCAACAAATTTGTCTTAGTTGTGGTTAGCTATCATTTCCATTGGAAAGGACAGGTTGGAAGAATAGGAGAACTAAGGTGATTTTACGTAATGTTTTCCAACTTTGTTCGAGAAATATTTGACGCATTTGCGGGAAAAACGTAAAATGCGTGAATCGAATATGTATATGTACATGAAAAAATCGTAGTTGTCAATTTAGCAAACACCAAAGCGGCTTTTCCCACCGGGCGTCCTTACTTGTGTCGCGTGAAAATAATATTTCCATCATGGCCCTGACCACGGCCGTTTCTACATCCCGTGTATAGAGTATATAGCTCATACATTTCGAACATGTAATACAATATGTGCTCGGAGATTGTACAGATCAGAATACAAATCACGGTTGCCTGATTCTAAATTACACGGGTGTTTTAGCCAAAGAGCTTAAATATATGTGTCGTACTCTTTGGTTTTAGCATTACGCAAACTCTCTGGTTTGAATATATACTCTGATCCCTGGTGTGGTCGTTAGTGGTCACCTCAAAGAGTATCACCTTGCTCTACTTGCTCTATCTCTGCACGTGGCGTCGAGCAAGCGTTGTTTTGAGTTGAGGGATTTTGTTGAGTAGTTTTCAGTTTTGTATATCTGTAATAATTTCATTGAAGTTCTCGTAGTCGAAACAGGATGGCAGATAACGGAGAAGTCGAGGGAAAAGAAATAACTTACGATGAGAAATTAAGCTGGGTTAATGAAATTGCCAAACCAATTGCTACAAAACATGTTGCCAAGAAAATATACAAAGTAGTTAAAAAAGGTGAGTTTGTGTAATGATATGATAACTTTTTTTAGAGAACAAGTGTTTGTACGTATGCTTTTTCTTTTTTTTTGTAGCTTCGAAAAACAAGAAGAACCTTATGGTCGGAATAAAATTGGTTCAGAAAGCACTCCGAAAAAATCAGAAAGGGTAAGTTGTGGTACTGAAAGCATTCTGTGAATTGAATTTTTTAATTGCTAATTGTTCTGAATTTTTCTAGAATGGTCATCTTTGCTGGAGATGTGACGCCAATTGAAATAATGTGTCATCTACCTGGAATGTGTGAAGAGCGTGACATTCCATATTGTTATGTTCCATCAAAATTAGATTTGGGAGCTGCCATGGGATGTGGAGAGAGGGCATGTGTAGTCATGATGATCAGTGATAATCCGGAGTATAAGGATTCTTATGATGAACTTAAAGAGCAGATAAAAGTTCTTCCATATCCATTGTAGTGTAATAGTGAACACGTGATAATGAACATCCAGGAATGGAGAACATTTGAGCCAAATTACAATTGATGACCCTTTGTTCTTTGTTCATTTGGTGTGTTGTGTTCATGTTTTGAGTGAATGTATTCTTACTTCAATTAGTGTTCATTTTCTGTTATCAGTGTGTATAAATTTCATACATTTGGTTTAATCTTTAGAGATTGAATTAATGAGCATAATTAGAAAGTCTGATGTTACTGCTTCAGGCCATGAGAATTTTATTGATATTTGAATGCTGTTGAGTATATTGAGTAATTGTGAAGTGGAAAAAAATATATTGAATCATTCCAAACTTTTTCATTTGTTTTTTGGCACAGGATTCCCCTTTTCAATGTCGTTATTTTAATAGTTCGTATGTCTCAAAGCTATTTCATGATAGAGTTAAATTTCATTTGAAGTCATTCTGTTATTACAGGAAGTAATGAATGTTTATTTTCTTAAATCGTATTGCTAAGGTGTTTTAGCATTTTGAATGTGAAAAAAAAAAATGTGTTAAGAGGAGAAATAAGATTTAGTATAAGTGATTTAAATTGTAGTTGTTGAAAATTAAATATTCTATTCCTTGGTAATGTGAACTTCTAAAATAGCAAATCTGAGTTGGAAATAGTTGATTATTTTGAAGTTACAGCATTGAAAAAGTTTTTGTTTTTCACAAAAGTTCCATATTTGAAAAAGTATAGATTTTTATGAACTTATATTATAGACTTGGTATTGTATCTGAAATGAAGGGTGATGTTAAATTATAATTATATAGGTAATGGGAAGTTAATGGTGTCACATTTTATTTGAATCAATGAATTGATTATTTCAGTTATTGTTCATGGTAGAAATCTTTTATAACCAACACAATTTTACAACCTACTTGTTCTAACACTGGTGTGCAGCATGTCACTACTCATCCAACATACTGCATGTGTGAGGGTCTTTCAGACCTCGCTCTTGCGGCATGGTTCGCACCTTGACACTCACTCCAGCGCTCATCAACCACTTTCCTTTTTAAGATTTCTTTTAAAGGGAATAGTATTGTACTGACCTGTTACATTAACATACTGCAACAAATCTACACTTACCCTGCAAAGCCCCATGAACAATTGCAAAAACTACTAGACATCTCCCAAGTAACATAGTTTTATATATTTATATTTCACATCTGGCTTTGATTTCAATTTACAAGCAATAATGTATCATAAAAGGTACCAAAGAAACTGACACCGTAAACTTCCGATTAACCGGTATGTCAAAAGTACAATGTATGTTGGCATGTTTGTTTTACATACCAATATAGTTTAAACCTCCGGCAGGTGCAGCAGTGATTGCTGCATCAAATTCAGATTGCCAGTCCCAACCTTGCCAGAGGGTTAAAACTTGAGAGGAAGTTGTGTAACAGTCATAACAATTTATGATTCACCTCTACAAATATCTTAAATTTTCTTCAAGTTTGTTTTACGAATTTGATATTCAAGGTGGTGTTTGTTTATAAAAGTATTTGTGTGAATTTTCTTCCTTTTGTCCTTTTGAAGTGGAAGCCAGAGACCATGTTTCTAGAATAAAGGGGCGGCTGGTTACTATTCAAAAAAGGTATCAGATAGTTTGTGAAAACTTCATATTGCTTTTGAAAAGTTCTGAGGTCCATTTATTGACAGAAGACAAAATCTAAAATCCTGTTTTTTTTTTCTCCATAAGTCAACAGACAGCATTGGTCTTATCATTTTGTACAAGTGTGCAAACGGTATTCCTGAAATCCCTTACCATACGACAAATTAGCAATAGTACAGATTGAGGTAGACAGATAAATTCAAAATTATTCAAGAATAAGTCTGGATCAGTGCTTTCCAGAATAGAGAGATGCATGAAAAACAAGTTTTAAAATGTAAATAAACAAACTTGAAACAATGATGAATTTTTGGAAGTGAAAAAATAAAAAATATCTCAAAAATGGCTCCAAATTTTTTCTTTAAACATTTGATAGGGTTTATGTGCTAAATGTACTACAACAAAGGACATGAATTCATTTTGCTGTTTTCTTTTGTTTTTCAAAAATTTACACAAATGAAATTTTGTTTAAATATCTCTCACATTGTTAATTTTTATATTACCGACAATTGTATACATTATTGTATTTGTGATTGCAAATACTTTAAATAGTTTTGTATAAATTTTCTTGAAAATTCCAAAGATTTGGGTGCAAATGAGCATCAAAATGCACATTTTCAGCAATGCTCAAAAGACATGTTCCTAAAATCGGCAATTTTTCAAAGAAAATTTCCATATGGGACGAAATTTTACTCTTCTATAATATTCTCAAAGTCATGTTTCAGTTCTACCTTTAGGGGACCAAAAAAATATTAAATGATGTAATTCGGGCAGCAGATGGAAAAGAGTGGGGAAAAATCGAAAACCTAATACACAAAAAAAAATTACAAAACTAACTAGTTTGAGAAAGTCTGTCATTCTGTAGCATCACTACATTTTTAACATCCCCTCATGGAGGATATTGCCAATAAAATTTTTATATTCACACCCTGCTCAAATCTCCCACAGTAATGTCAACTAAACTAATGTCAAATCAAATAGTAAGCATTATTTTGATTATTATAGTTTGTTCAGTATAATAATTTTACTATATAAAGTCAGATATTGCTCTTAAGTCCATAATGGTAATGACCATAAAATGAAATATTAATATTAATATGTATATTCCATGACACCAAATATGTAATGATTAAACTTAATTTCTTCTTAATAGTGCTAATCATTGTTTTATCCAGTTTGAGTACCTGAAGATGAAATTGTGATCTGTTTTGTAAAAATTAGATAAGAATTTTTAGAACACGAGCAGAGTAAACAATAATCCATGGTCTCCTATTAACTACTATTAACATCAGTCGGTCACATTTTGCAGGACAAATGATCAACTTAAAACAAAACTAGTGGTGCTACATCAGCACATACTTTCTCACATTTTAAAAAAAATTTTGCAATTTTTGAAAATTCAGAAAGTTCAGCGAAAATAAGAGCCATGCCATTTTCAATGTTTCTTCTTCTATCCGTGGAAAAAAACAAAACTAAAAACTTTGGAAAATAATTTTTTAGAAATTGCAAAAATTGCAAAAACTACTCTTTTTTTTCAACAATTTGTATACAACCATTTTTATACCACTGATTTTTAACAACAGATATTATTGCCCAGACAAAGTCTATCTTCAATTTTGTAGTTTCAAAATGTTAACTTTTAATTTTTTACCAAACTTTTAATTCTTTGGTCTATCAATCTACATATCTGTACTAAAAATTTTCTGAAATTGAATATATAGTATAAATTAGAGTTTTGTTATTTTTTTAAAACCAAGTCGTAGAGTAATGATATGTCTCCTTAGTCTATGAGCAAATAATTCAACCAACTCTCCCATGCTCTTACATATATTTATTTGTGTTGTCCAATTGGCTGTTTTTGACAGTCACCAATATCTTTCTTTAAATAATGGTTCTGAAAAGACATTTATAGAACTAAGAAATTATCTTTTTAATTAAGAACACAGTAGAAGGTTATGGATAGGATTTTATTATAACACACAAAATAAAGATTTCAAAAAGAAAAAAAAAACTTTTATTATCTTGAATTATGCAAGCTGTTGTCTGGAATGTACTTCAAGACATCTTACTGAGCACTCAAAAAAAGAAAAATAACTGAACGCTCAAAATACATTTTTCCTACCATTTTCTTATTAATTATGCAATCTTTGTGGTAACAATTCATTGACTGTTCCATTTCTACTAGACTTAACTTCAGACATTTTGGACTTGAAGACAGGGTCCAGTTTGCATTAATTTTAAAAGAAGCTTTCCGAAGTCAAAAGATTTGTTCAATTGTGGAATTTTCTTCAACACAATGTATTAAGCAGAAACAGTTAATGAAAATAAAAACAATACAAACAGTACCATGTAAGCATTCTCATAATGCGGTACACCCCTATTTCACGAGATAATAAAGTGTGAATTCTATGGCACATTCACTAATTAAGTAGTAAGTTGTTTTCATTGTATTCAAGATTGTAAATATTACAGGCATTAGGTATAAAGATCTTGTTTGGCAATATTAATATAATCACACAAAACACACCAACATGTTATATAAAATAATGCAGCAGCAGTTATTCCAACTTATCTGTTTAACACACATGTGACTAGAGAAATGCATTTTTTTGTGAGAATTAATAATCAAGTTGCATAACACAGCAATAAGAACTACCCAGTTTGCAGTGTATGTAATTTAAGATATAGTAATAAACTTATTAAAATTTTTCTTCTAGTGGCTGGCATAGTACAAAGTGTTGCACCAATTCTTTATCCTTGCAATTCAAAGGCTGTCACAACACCAATTCTCAACATTCCTTATAATAATCTAACCCCACAAAAAATACAAGCAATGATTTATATATTTAGCCATGTTACATTTTGTAACACCATTCTATCCTATCATAAAAGGAACTGACACATTACAAGCTCTTCAAAACTCTACACTTTCCAACTTCTTTTTGTGTAAATGCAAAATGGATAAATAACATGAATGAGTGCTGGGATTTTTAAACTCCCAAGTCCAAGGAATACTTGCAGATGTGAGCAAAAATGCTATTCTTTTTTATTTGTGTTGTTCAATTTGTAATAGTGTTTCTCAGTTCAACAAAATTTTGATGCAATATTGGAAGCAAAACTGTTTAAGATAAAGGCATGTATACATGTTTAATTATTATCAATTACTCAAATTGTAAATATAAATGAAGACAAAGCAATCAAGTGAATTTCTATCCTGGATGGAATAAGGAACTTCCTTGAATTTCTTTCTTAAAATATATATATATATGTATATAATATACTTCAATTCTAACTCCCAGTATTTTCCCCACAGTATACAACATTAATACTCACCTCAGGATCACACCATTATTTTAATCATACAGTCAAATTTTTAATCAAATACTGAACAGTACAATTATGACACATTTCACTCAATTGACACGAAATATCAGTAGTAATCACTCTGATCATTGGAACAATTCTGCACAATCTTTGTGCAAATACAAAATTATTTCTTATCTGGTGATCACTTTCTCAACTCAGTCTTCTTGCTACACTTTGATATGTAGTGTCTTGTATCACTACTTCAATATGAAAAGCACATCTATAATATCAATTCCTAAACTGAAGTCTTTCTACCAGATCAACTTCAAAGTCCATCTCACATTATTCTTTCAAGATTCTTGCAAGTACAGAAATGATAAAGAAAATAATAAAATCATTTAATATCAGGTTTAAATGACTGATTATGACTTCATTAGTATGATAGCATGTAGTGGTGAAAATTGCACTAAAATTTGAGAGAACTGAAGGATCAAATTTTTATCATTTAATTGTTAGGGACACAGAAGAATGTAGACAGTTTTTATAAAATCAATGTAATATTTAGTTTGAGAAACAAATTAAAAAATATATATATGAGCAAACGAAGTTTCTTCACTGTAACTGCAATTTTGGAAACTTAGATACAAAATTTATTATTAGCAATGTCCATTTGCTTATAGTTGGCAGCGATTGAAAATACGGTCCTACAGTATTTATGAAACAGTGCAGTATTTCAGTAACTGCTCTGAATATAAATGCCCAGAATTGTGTCAGAGGCCACATAAATTCACAAGAACAGTAAACCTGAAAACTACACACTGGCCTTTCCTCTAAGCTCACACCATGGAGTTCCTGATATTCAATCATTTATGTCCTGTAATAAAATATACTTGCAAACACACATATTCTCCCTACACCCATCCTTATCACATTCTTCCACACAAAAATCTTCAACAGACTCACTGAATTCTCAAAGCCTCTTCAAAAATCCATGCAGCCTCTTAATAACAACTTGGAACAGGTAAGTTTGTTATTGTGGCACTGTTTGGGCTATGCAGTTCCTGCTCACCACTGAGGTCACCGCTTGCCATAACAGCACAAGATCCAATACTTGTGAAGAAATGGGCGACATCATGTAGACTTGGCCTGCAGTAGCACAGTGATTGCGAAGAACATGCAGAAGAGGACTGTGAGCACCAAGAGTAGAGTGAGTGGACGTCGGTGCTCAGTGCAACACTGTCATACCGTTGCACTCCCTAGCAAGGTTCGATTGACTGCACCATCCCCTGTTTCTCGGCGGGACTTGCCAGTGAAGAACAAGCAGCCAGAATGATGACGACTGCGTTTCAGTGAAGGTTTCTCTTCTTTTTCTCTCTCCATGCAACACTTTTGGTAGTAATCATAGTCCTTTAGGTACCTGCAATAATAAATGAAACAAACTTGAAAAATGAAATGAGGAAAACAAACATATAAAATGTACTATTATTAAAGGATTTATTCTCCCACCCCCCCTTTTCTAAAATCATAGGTGTTGTTGGTACAAAAGTTACAAAAAGAAAGTTATTAAAAATACATAAAATATAAGAAATCAATAGAGTCCCCTATCATTAAATCTGTAAAACTTACTAGGGTCATTAATAACCAATTTGATGATGAAAAGTGTGTGTCATCAGAAAAGGAAAAAATGGGCAGAATAAACTTACCACACTGGTGGCCATCGATGTTCACTCAAATAATCTTGATTTTCTGGATGTAAACTCCGCAAAAGTTTAGGTGACATTTTGCAGAGTTTATTGTAGTTTGTGCATAAGTGGTTCATACACCAATCTGCAAGCTGGTCTGCATTATGGAGCTACAATATAAACAGATTTGTCATTATACTTTCTGTAAATACAACTCAAAATAGTTCTGGTGAGTAAATTTAAATGAATTTAACTATTTAAAAATATCATGAAACAAATTTACTTTGATTTAAAAAATACCATTATAAGAGAAGATTTTTTTTCTTTTGTTAATTCAAGATATATTCTGAATTTGTAAGACTGATTTTGCTTCATAACATTAAAAAACTGTAGATTCAATAACATAATACTGTAAGAAAATTGTTGTTGATTCCCATTATTAGGCTACCCGAGTCAACCTTCTGGTTTACAATAATAGGTTCACTAAAGTCATTTTGAGTCAGTATTGTAAGGTTAGAAATAACACATGTCCTGAAAAATTGTGTATTACACATTATTCAGCTTTTACAAACTATCCTACATATATTAATCATATTATACTTACTGTACATACAAAAAATATCTAATTCTCGCAAAAAATAACTAGAACTTATGATCAAAATTAACGAAAATATTACTAAAAAGATTAACAGAAGCAGAATGTTTATAACCTTGCAAGGCTCCAAGAGCCGAAGGCAGTGCTCCACAACATCTGATCCTTCAGCAGATGATAATCTTGTTAATTCTTCCACCACCCTTTTTTCTACAAGATTCACTAAACGGGGTAAACACAATCGGTTTCCCAATTCCAAAAGGTCTAAACATCGAGCTGGCGTGATAGGGGGCACATCATCAGTATACAAATATATCAGCAGTTTGTGGAATGTATCTTCTTTCACACCAGGGAACAAGATCTGCAATAAGATGTTTCATTAGTTTCGGAACTTCAAATACAATACCTGGTTTTTAGAGTAGGTGTTAGCGACACTTACAACTTTTGCATTGCTTTCCCGGAAATCACCTGAGAACATGGCTTTCATCATGTCACATCTTGCCATGAGCATTGGCCTATGAGCAGCATAGGAGCCATCATCTAATTGGAACACAATGTCCGAGAAAAGACCTTGACCTAAGCACAGGTCCTGTAGCCTTAATCGCACAGCCTAAGAGAATAAGGAAGCAATAAACAAAAAATCTTACACAATTGGAATATAACAAATTATGAGAGTAATAATAAAACTGTTGAAGAAAGTAACCAAGACTATTTTTATGCCCTTTTACTTATTCAACCCTTGCATGGAAGAATTTTCAATTTCATTTCATATTACTACTTACCAAGACCTTGTTCCAGTGTATATTGGAAGCAATTATGGGGATCATTGCTTTGCATTGTTCTACCATAATAACTAATTAAAGACCTTAAATATATCAATTTCATAAAGGGGGAAGTAGAAAATATGTAAATAGTAAAAATACAACTCTTATTATGTGATGTTCACGGACTTGGTTGCAAAATCCCTTTTATCATAATTCATTGGTCCAGTGATACGAGCAGAGCTGAAGTACAACATTCACTGGGATAACAGAAGAGGAGACAAGGAAGACTACCCAGTTGAAGAAAAATGCATTATGATATGAGATTAATAGAATCTGGCATGTATTTTTCTATAGGACTTGTTAATCTTCAATTCTAGACTGTTTTCAAAGTGAACGGCAGAAATCATTGCCCTAATTCAATGATCTCGCAGCAAGGAAACGAGAAAGGTGTGACATGGTAGACAGATCCTGATCGATCTTCCCAGGCATGATTTTCCTTAAGGAGGATTCAGTATACATTACAACTGAGTCACAAGCGAGGAGCGTTCTTTCAGATGTAAAGACAGACTTCAATGGTTGGGGAATCTTTCTAGCCTGGGAGCATTTCAACGCAATGTGATTTGCCTGTGTATTTGAGTGAGCTAACTCTTCAGTCTGGATTATACATGAAATTTTAAATTTTGCACATTTTGAGAAATTCATCTGAAATTTTTTTATGGTGTTCATGGTCTTAACTATATTATTAACCCTTTGACTTTGTTTCTCCAATACTTATGTGGATTCTGTTTGGGGTCTTTTGGACCCCAAAAATTTTACACACTAGTTTACAAGTATTTGATGTACAGATGTTTTTTGGAATTATTAATTGAGAACAATATGACATTTATTTGCTTTATCTACTACATCGCACTAAAGAAAGAATAATGCTTCCAGAGAAAAAAAATCAAGCATATCCACATAACTATGCATAAGTGTCTATCTTACTAGCATGAGAATGTTTGAAACAGGGCTATCAAATCATAATAGACAAAACTCCCAAATTATCAATGAACAACTGCAATGTGATAGTGCAAAATAGAAATGGCCATTTATGTGAATGCTATGGCCCTATCATGATGTGTAACAGATAATGGAAATGGACTTGTTTTAAGAATTTATTTTTCTGTATTTTAAATGTCAAATGTGGTATTTCTGACCCCCAAAGCATAAAAATCGAATCATTAAAAAAAAGTAATAATAATAAAAAAATAACAAAAAAGTTTACAACATATAAAATTGGACTAATATCTAAATGTAGAAGTTCATGGAAATTATTTAATTATTATCAAAAAAGACCCCAAACAGATTATAAGGGTTAAAATATCACCACTTTGACCAATGAGACTGCTATCTACCATGTTATTTTTTCTTTCTGTTACAGAAAACATTAGAGTTTGAATAAATACAAAAAGAAGTTTGAATAAATATGAAAGGTTGAGATTAATTTTATAAGTTTCAAGGAGAGATATGATGAGAAATGAAAACACTTAAAGTTAAAAATGTTGTTTCAAAAATTGAAAACTACCAAAAGAAATGGCAAAAACATATCAAAAGAATGAAGATAAAACATTTAACAAGAAAAGTCTTCAAACACAAACCAAGAGGAAAAGAGACCCTGGCAGACCAAGATTGCAATGGAAGATCAAGAACACTTCAGGAGCACTGAGAGGATATTGATAAACCAAAGGAACAGGGCCACACACCAATACTTTAAATGCTTGATGATAATGTTGATGATGAATACTTTAACTCATTAACTTTTTTTCTCCTTCTCATATTTACCTTCAATTATATTATATATTAGGTTTCCTTAATGAAATTTACGAACTATTTGAAATAAAAAATTAAAATAATCTTTCAATTGTGATACATTTTATTTTATTATTAAGAAAAATTCAACAACAGTTATGGTAGAAGAAAGCTAATAGAGTTCAATGACAGAACACTTCTGACAATATGAAACAAAGAAATTCACCTTTCTATACTGTTGTTTGAGATCTGTATTCATAAATTCTTCATGGGCTTGAATATTTCTTACAAAACTAAACAATTCAGGCAAGTCCAAAAATTCAGCTGCCTGCCGAATCTCCTGAAAATTAAATTATTAATTAACTTTTTGTCAAATATTCTTTATCATTTTTACATTTTTAATGTCTATTTTTATCTCTTTTATACTATTTTTCATCCACATAAAAATATTGATAGATGAATTTATTTATCTTAACCAAGCTCTATAAGTGAGTATGTAGTAAAGTAATTTTGATTTGAACTTGCAATTTCAATTGAAAAATTACCTAAAATATCACTGATTAATCCATGAAATTTAACAATTTTATTTCTACCAATAATACAGATATTCAACTTCAATTTTACCATAAATAAGTGTGCATAGAGCAGCAATATTAAATTAAGTAAACAGTTTCCAATAAGACAAGTAAAGGGAACATTACAAGTGAAAGACTTATCTACTGAATGGGTTTTCAACACTGCTCACTACATTCCCCGTTCATGCCAAACTCAATTTTAGAATTGTTTTGGGTAAATGTGTACCGATAGTTTGAAATTCAAAATTTGCAATGAAAACAAAAGTAAGTACAATACATTATAAATACAACATTTACTGCTCACAGTAAGTACTTGCAACATCTACAATCTGACAATATCCAAAAATATCTTTGTAGATATTGGCACAAAATATGATATTCATGAAGGAAAAGTTAATACACTGAGCTTCAAATTTTTAAAATTTATGTAATTCAAGTAAGGAATACTGCTATTACTTGACAAAATGGTATATTATTTCATAGAGTTAAAATGTTTTTTAAAAAAAAAAAGCATAAATATGCAAGTAAAGAGAACATTCCTAAAGCTTACTGTGTCATGCAAAGTATAATAATCATTTAAAAAAATCCTCAAAAAATTCTATTTGTACCACCTCATTTCACAGATTAGCAATGAACATTTTTAATGTTACCCATATGCTAAAAATAATGAGGATTAAAAAATATGATGAACAAGATACAATTCAATTATTGAAAGTTTTTACATTATCTTAATATTGGTTGATTCATTCAGTTGTATTATAATATTACTTGAATAATTAATTAACATGGTATATGGTTAATTATTCTTAGTTACAGAAGTTCTGTGAAATTCCATTCCATCTAGCTTTCATGCAAGAAATTCATTCATAGTTATTTAAGAAAATAAAAATGTTTATTTCACAATTGTAATACATGAGAGTAATTCTGACTGACTCGCGATAAGAAATGTAACTTTCAACAAAATATCAATTACGTATTTCAAGAAATTCATGACATTGTTTCTTTTGGTTTTCAAGAGCATTTGTAAAGGAAGAGGATTTTCTTAAGCATGATTTACAATAAGAGTTGCAGTAAACAGGCAGCAAGCTCAGACAGAGGCAAAAAGGTGAAGAATGAAATAGAAAGAAAGACAAGGTGACGTAGTTACCAACAAGAGTCCTAGTGGGACAGTCTGAAACACAAGAGCCACACCAGATGGGTATTCGGCCATTTTGTGGCCCGACTACCCACAACATGGAAGGGAACATACCATATACTTTATTGATGCAATCCTTGCTGCACAAGGGGATTTTATTTTAATCATGTAAACATGCAATTAATTTTTATTTATCCAGAGAAAGCAGGACATAAACATTAAAAAAAATTAAAAGAAGGTATAAAATAAGATTCAGTCTTGTTTAGTAGAATAGAATTATATTCACAATTCACTCAAGATAAAGAATTTATCAAGGAGATTTCAGTTTAAGCATACTGTTCTCAAAGGTAAAACATTTTCTTGGAGAGCACTATAATATTCTTGATTTAATTTTATTTGTCCCTTAGGCAACAAGGAGTGCTCAATAGTGCTGTTTTGTAAGGAGAAATAAGACTCAATTTTTTTAACGGGAAAACAATTGATAAATTTTTCCTACTGCAGAAAATGAAAAATGGTATTTTCAAGGATAGGTGGTGTATCAAATTATTAAAAAAATGTATTTCTGAAAGGAAACAAGACTTAAGCTTGTTGAATAGCAATTAAAAAACAAATAAATAAGAAATAAAATATTTGACTGAAATCTTAGCAAAAATAATCAATTAAAACACTTTGAAATTAAATCGCCGTTAATGAATGACAATATAATAATAATAATAATAATAATAATAATAATAATAATAATAATAATAATAATAATAAACAGAGAGAGAAGAAATGACATAATCTCTGCACTGTTATTTTTTGTTTTATTTCATGGTGCAGAACAAAAAGAGTCCTAGGAATAGGAGTGGGTCATATCATTACAACATTGACAGTTTATACACTTTAAATTTATGAAACACTTGTTTAAATGATGCATTGTCATTGCCCATTTTTAAATGTACGAATCATTCTTAACAAAACACAGATTCTCCTTACAGATGCACACAATTCAAGGGAGAAGAAGTTTTCCAAAATGCAAGTGTATAAAAAGACATATTTAGAGGCAAGATAATGCTCAATAAGGTAACAGTATATCTGCAAAATAGGATTTAGCTTATATTTACTCAGACCCATAAACAAAAAATCAAATGCTATTATTTGCAAAATTACCAGGTTTTACATTACTTGACAATATGAAAGCAGAGAACCATTATAGATTCATTAGTAAACCAAAAAGAAGTGAAAATTTTCATGAATTAGAAAATTTTATTGGAAAAGCAGTATCAAGTCTAATGCATGGCAATACATGCCAGAAAGTGGCATTAAAAATAGCGTGGAACAGTGCTTTCACTTGGCTGGATGATCATCTGTGAATTATGTGCATCCTGGCAAGCAGTGTCTGTGGAACCTCTTACGCAAACAATATTTTCTAGAACTATCCTACAATGTTATAACTAGTAAATTTCTGACTTTTCTAATATGATCTAATATTTTACTTATATATCTAAGTCAGTTGTCTACACAAACCTTCATATTTCTATAGTAAAAAAGGGAGGATTTGTTATTCATTCTAAATAAATATATTCTTCTAGAATTCCTTATTAAGTTTGAATTTTCAAATGTTTAACAAGACTCACAAACATGCTCAGTACTAATGAATACATATTTATGACATTTCTAATTTTACAAGCTCTTAGTTTTCTGCAGTAATAACAAGGGACATGCTTGTATATGAAACATCCTAAACATAGCACTGAATTGAACACTTGTAGTAGTTTTTTGTTACTTTTCAAGCTGGAGCCTATACTCCTTTTTTTACTGCTGACCATGCCTCTAATGGGCTGGTTTGTTCGCACAAAAAGGTTCCACAGACATCAATGTGACAAAAATCAGGTAAAATGTTATAGTTACAATACTTGAAAATGATAAACAATATACAGCCAATTTACTTCACAAAATTCATAACTAGAAAACAGTGAACTTTTCTGACTTATGCCACATTGTGTAATTTATTCCAGTCTCATCATTTCTATGCTTTGCTAAAAAGGGACTGAAGGTATTTTATTTCATGCATCCTTCCATTCTTTAAATGTTCTATTGTTAGAAAAAAGAGACAGGATTAAAAGCGAGAAAGAAAGACAGAGGTGAAGTATAAGTTGCAATTGGTACCCTACCTGCAGCTCACAAAAGCGGGTGTCTATAGAGCCAGTGTAGAGGAACTGCAGGCACTGTTGCATGGCCTGGGGTGTCACCAGCTTAGAAAGAGTAATCACAGTCTGAACTGAGCTGTTTGGACGGCCTCCTCGTGTGTTGTCCAGTCCTTCACACTAAACATGGAACACAGACAATGGTTTTGAAATAACACATCCTGCTTCTTCTGCCTGGATTTTTTTAGACAAGAAATTTATTGGTAGGATCTTTACAATAAAACAACTGTATGTACAAATAAAAATATTGACAAAAATGTTGCGAGTTAAATAAATTATTCTTTAGACAGCCAAGAGTAAAAGTAGTTATTTTTCAAGCATGCACAGCATGCGAAAAGTTAAATTTTTGGACCTATTGTGAAAAGTGAGATGATTCTCAAATGTTCAGATAAAACTGTGTAAGCAACAAAGTAAACAAAACACTATCATCTAACTGAATCCGCTTCTATTGACCTTAATGTAACGTAGCTTACAATTTAGAGATTTGCATATATGAATTAAAATGAATGTAACTCAGAAAGGCTGCCTAGTAAATAGTGTATGAACATTAGGCAAAAATGATTACATATTGCTTGTAAGATTGCACCATTCGTCCTATTGGCCTTGTGTCACAATCTTTCCTACTCCCAAAAATAAAATTCCACATTTATCACTCATATCATAAATACCAACATTATCACAAAAAAATTATCAGTACCAAGTCATGTGGTAAAATTTTAATTAACATTCTGAAATAGAGTGAACTGAACTACAGCATTAAACAAACTAAAATTAATTTTATTTCATACCAAAATGATTTCTTAATTACCTTAGGTTTTGACATCAGAAAGTTGCAAATAGATGAAATGAATCTTTGATAAAATTTCTTATATTTAGCCAATAATTAAGCAAGTACCTGTTGAACTTGCTCAATGCGGATGGCCTGGAAAGCTGGATGATTCAGTTCACGAGTAACACCTAGTCTTTTACTTGAATCTGTGGTCAGCACCTGACAGCTTGAGCGACGTTTTAACTGGTCCCAAACTCTAAAAGAAGGAAATAAAATTCACTCCAGATATTGAAGTTGTAGAAGTTTGTATATCCTTCATTTCTTTTATTATGCTTTTTTCACTAAAAGAATGTGTAGAACATGTTGGTGACTTCATTTACCAACTTTATGATCTCTCTTCTCAATAAAGAAGGAACAAAGTTTATTAAGTCAAACAAGGCAAAAGATCAAGGACCTTACAAAAGTATTTTGGAACATAAAAACAGTACCTAGAATGTAAAAAAGAATGAGAAATTAATTTTAGAAATTTGTATAAAAAAATATCTTTTTAGTGAATTAAAGTATATTTCCAATAGAATATACATGTTAGGAAAATTTTCAAACCATTTAAAAGATAAACTAACCTGGAAGGTTTAAAATAATTGTCAGTCTGACGAATAAGATATTCAGTGTCATCATTGAAGTCTCCCATTGTGGCCTCTCCAAATGTACTAACCTGTGAATAGTAATTTATTTTTCTTAACACATTTGATCATAATGTTAAGTACAAAAACAAAAAACAAAACTAAATAAAAAAACAGATATTTTAATAAAGATAAATTTTGAAAATTAAAGTATTGTAGGAAAAGTGCATTTTTACAAACATTTTTTTTCAACATTATTATTAGGTATTAGCAAAAAAAAAATAAATTTTAAGACAAAAAGTATTATACTAAATTAGTGACAGGTACAAATTAGTAAATGAATTTGAATTTTCATAGTTTTAATAACCAGATAAATAAATAAGTAAATAAATGAATTTCTTTACAATAGTGAGTCTCAAACTTTTTTAATCACAGAAACTGAGATAAGACTTTATCAGAGATGCTATGTCTATCCTTTGCTTTTAACACATTCGACCGTGAGGGTGACACCATGTGGTTTACTCCTGTGCCCTGGACAAAGTAGCTATTATTCAAAATGTTGTTAAAAATTTATTATTGTATACATTAGTTTGAAAATGATAACATCTTGTAGCATTGTCTTTCCTCTTTAAGTTTATATGTATTTTATTGTTAGACTATATGATTATAAGATATGGAAGAGAATGGATGAAAACAAAAACATGTTTTCTTCTTTTTATTTTTGGGAAAGAAACAATGTCATAAAACATGGGGAGAAACTCAGTGTAGTTCATCCAACATTACTGGTGCACAACTGTGCACATTTGCATATCTGTTTGTTTCTGGCTGGATTTTAGAAATACACACTGGTCAAATAATAAAGAAAAAGAGCATAGTTCATTTTCAGGAAAATTTATTTCACTGGTTTTCTCAAACACTGGTAATTCAGACTGTTCATCAATTTCACACCATTCTAAAGGAAATTTAAACTCGTTAATTTAAGAAAACATTTGTATTTGTTGCTAATAGCATGAGCACTACTTTCTAAGAAAGGTTCTGAACGTAATTAACACTGCTCACAGGTTTGAATATCTAATTCTAAAAAAAATTGCAAATTCATGTAACAATTAAAAGCACATTTTGGCAATTGTCCTCAAACTTTATTAGTGACATTAAGAAGCATATTGTAGGTGCCTACGAACATCCAAGACATATCTATAGCCTGACAAAGAAGATAAATGCAGAAGAATGTATGACATATGTTCATAGGACATAACAGTAATGTGAAGATGACGTATCTGATATGTCCTTAGGATCGAAAGTGTTAATATTCATTGTAAATCAACAATGAAGAAACACCTCCAGATGATACTAGAATAGCTAACAGCACACACAAGTAAATACATGAGGAAAACCAATACCCACTGATTTCCTGAATGACACGAATTATGTGAATTGAGTTAAGTTAAACAGCTTTTCTTTTTTGCTTGGCAAACATAAAAAACTGTAAGTTGAAATTACACAGTGGTTTTTTTTAAGTTAACTTAAATGTGGCTTTACAAATTTAGGAACCAATATTAAACATGCTTTTGATATCAGTGAGCTTACCATACTGGACTCTGAGGAACTCCTTGCTCCCATGTCACAACTGAGGTCCATAGTGAGCAATTTGTGGAAGGTGGGGGAGGCAGCAGCGAGAACAAATCTGTGTGCCGAGAAGCCCATGCTGCCTGCCACAAACACCACGTCAGTGTAGGCCTGCTGGAGCCAGAGCTGTTGCATGTTCTCTGCAAATGTGCTTGCGGCCACATACACATCTGGTGGGAGGGGTTTTGGTGGCAAGAAAGGAGCCTGCAAGTAAGAAATGACCATATGTTTCATACCACCACTTACACAAACCAACTCTAAGAAATTAGGAGGTATATTTATCTCTAATACACAATTACATCATTTTGTTTCTTTTGTATGTTCATAAAAGCACTGCTTTCTCTATCAAGAATCAATATCTTTTCTGTATCAAACATCAAACCTATATTTTACAAGAGATTGAATTGAGTACCTATTGAATTTTGCTGAGCAGATGCTTAGATTACAAGGGGAAAACTTTTTGTTTAATGTTTTTCATTACTACAACATTACAACAATAATGCAGACAATAATGTAACCCAAGTTTGAACAATCCGTAAGAAATCCAACTAACACAAGCCAATGAGAAATGCTCATTTTCTAGATGGGAGAACATAAGAAAGGCCCTTGGTGGCTCGTTGGTTAGTGTACTCCCTTTCCTTGTACAACATTGGGTTTGACTTCTCGTCAGGACAAAATTATAACTGTGCGCTTCCTTACTAATGTCTGAGTATATATTGCTGTGTGTCAAGGAGAACACCCAATAAGGTTGTGAAAACCAGTGGGTGGAATATTCTCTGGAGAGATGCCTATGTGCTAACTACATGAACCCCATACCCTCTGGCCGAGAGGCCAGGTCACTGCTGATCGACCAAGGGCCTTATCAGGCTGTCCAGCCAAAGGACAGTACCTAAGAGACTGAGATAGAATAAGAGATTGTTCAAAGCTAATTTAAAACAACAACTCCCTTCTATGAATTGCTTTTGTTAATAATTAAAACTAAGTTTAACCTGCTTTCTTCGGGATATCATTTCTTACTGGGGATTGGCAGACACAGTCACAAACTGACCTCGTGTCCTAATTTCACAATAAAGAAAACAAGAAAACAAAAGTAAGAGACATTTATTAAAACAGTGAAGATCATCATCATGAATGCAACAGCATGGCTGCAATTGACAATCAGATTTTTTAAATTGTAATAATTCTTGCCAAACTTAATTCTGTAAATGTAAATTTATGAAATAAGTATGATTCCGACGTGAAAAAAAGAGGTTTTTTTGCACATCATTTTGGATGTTATTTTATCAGCATCCGTAATGGTGAACAGAATGGTTATTATGACAATAGTGGTAATAATAATAATAATAGTAAAAACAACAACAATAACTACAATGAAGATATGGTGGCGGCCCTCGCAATTATGACAAGATGCCTTACCTGCAGCATGGGCCGCTGGACCTTCTTGAGGTTGGTCATCCAGAAGCGCTGCTGGCGGCGCGCCATGAGGGCGGCGCGGATGGCGTTTTCGAACACCTCGTTGACGCCGTGGTAGGTGAGCACGCTCGTCTCGTAGTAGTGCACGCCCAGCTCCTTGGCGACGGCGCGCGCCTGGTCGGGCATCACCAGGTCGCTCTTCCGCGTCGGCCTGCGAACCCGCGCGCTGTACCTCTGTGATATCTCCCGAACGGAAGGCCCCCGCACTGGCACCGCGCTCAGCGTTTTTCAACCCCTTTTTTATTTCATTATTTTTTTTATTTTTTTTTAGATGCGGCCCAAAATTGTGTTGAATTTATTAGTAAACTCTCAATTCTACGCCGGGGGTTCCCCAACGTAGACCTCTTGGGCTGCTGGATAGTTTATCAAAGTGGACCATGCCTAATAGGCCTGTGTCACACGAGCGTTATGTTGACGCGCGTCGTAGATTAACACTATTTTATGCGGAACAGCCAAAGCGCCCTTGTGACGTTTCGTGTAAGATGCAGTGTTATTCTTCGACGCGCGTTATTTACCGCGCGTCAATGCAACGCTCGTGTGCAGGAGCCCTTAGGTGTTTGATGTCTGTTGTTTTAGTGTACCTTCCAAATAGAAATTGTCCTGGTTCACCACTCCAATAAATACGCTGTTTGAATACAACAAATCACGCTTTGTAATCTACGCCAGAGTAGTTTACAGATTAGTAATAGACTTTCTAGCACGTTGCCCACATACCCTCGGTTTTATCTGAATGAGGGATTTCTAATCAGAAAGCTAATTTTGAAAACAATAACTAGACATCTAAGAAACACGTCCAGCGAGAGCTTTAGTTGGCACATTTTCATCAAAACAACGCAGATGTATTATCAGTACTTCAATATTCACTCTAAAAGCGCATAATTTGCTGACATCTTCATTAATTTTCTTTCATTCACAATTTTCGGCCGCGAATCACAGTTTAAAAAACACTGACCTTGTAGTGACAGTGATGGTATATGCTTTCGTATCTGTTTTAAAACAAAATAATTCGAATCAATTCATTCATTTCTAACACAGTCTACTTTCTCACCCTCTTCGCCTCTCTCGCACATACATGAGCACGCGCATACTCATGTACCGGTGCAAAGCATTCCGTTATGTCACTCTACCTAGAGAAAACATAAGATCCTGAGAATATTTGAAATTGCTTAAGGTTTGAAAACCGTTAAAAAAATATTGAATATATATAGTTATTAGAAATAGTTATTTATGATAGGAGTGGTGAAAGTGACATTTTATTTAGCGTTTAGGGAAGGTTGCGACACGAGGCCGATGGGCCAAAAGGCGCAATCCCACGAGTAAACTAAAGTCACGTTTGCCACGCGTGTCATGCACTATTTTTAGACAGTCTTACTGACTTTCATTTTATTCTAAATGAAGTGTACAAATGAAACATTAAGGACAGTGATAGCTGACGCAATCAGACGAAAGTAGTTTTGATTTCTTTGTTGCATTCACAAATTCATCTGAACACTTTACCATCGTCTCCTTTTGGCACTAGCGCTAAAAATGAATGTTTTTAGTAAAAAACGAAAGTATTTTAATGACAAAATATTTCATTAAAATACCTGAATTTTTTGAAATTGAAAAAGTTCAACTTCTTTTCGACCAAGTCTTGCACCATTTTTGATTCTTGACTGTTCTTTGTTATTGCAACCTACTCTTCAATATTAGATCATCAATACATTTGTCAAAATATTAGTGGTTTTCGAATTATTTTAAGTCACATTGAAACTAACTTTCAGAACGTTCGTAAAAAAGTTACAATATTACACTATTAAATAACCAATTCAAATAATTGGAAAACGAAAGCTCTATTGCAGCACCACTAATTTTAGGATACGTGAGTCACTGAAAAAATAAAGATCGTTGAACGCAATGGCCTAAGTAATCGAGTTCAAATCCCAGATCAGGAAAATATTTGCACGTAGGTAACACTTAAGAGGTGTGTTGGTCAATACGGCGATCTCTACGTGAAATATCCCATCGCCAGGTCGCGAAAACATAACCAAGTTCAAATGTGAAAATCTTCGTACGACTTCAGCTAGTACAGTAATAGTACGCAAATTACATATAATTCTAAGAAGTACGTGGTGTCGCATCGTGAGTAGTCGGCTCGGGCGGCGGCTGGGCTCACCTGACGAAGGGGCTGCGGTCGCGGAAGTAGCTGAGGTACGTCTCGTCACGGTACATGTAGCGCAGGTCGTTCTTGCAGCCCACCAGCAGCACGGGCGTCTGCGGGCAGAACTTGCGGATCTCCGGGTACCACATCACCTTGCAGTTGCGCAGCGACACCGGGTTGGTGATGGAGAAGCACAGCAGCACCACGTCAGACCTGTGAGGGGTGACGATTTCTCTAACTACTTGACTACTCCTCATTCAACGAAGTTTAAAAATGCAAGGAAACATAAGCACTCGAGTTTAAAGAGCTGCAAATATTCTGAAAGCGCATTTAGGTGTCTATTTCTATTAGTACTAGATTTTCTTACTTAACGAACTTGAAAAATTAAAGAAAACATCTTTGCCACAAAGTTCTTCAGCGCCCTAGTTTAAAGAACAGTAAATATACTGATAGCACTTTTAGTAGCGTGAGCTCGCATAATTACTGGGAATAACTTTGAAAGTGGGAGGCAAGCTTGTCTCTCGGATCACCAAATATTATGTCGATGCCAGAATTAATGGCTCATTATTTTCTGACCGAAGTAGCAAAGCGGCGTGTTCTTTAGCTGCACGTGCCCCGTGGACTTGTGAGCGGACCAATTACAGCTCCCTTTACATTAGCCTCTCCCACCGACTTAACGACAGAAGGAGCAGGTAAGCACGGCTTCACAAGATTCGAACCACGCACGTTATAAATATACCTCTAGCGAGGCGTACAATGATTTAAGCATGTCGGCTAAATCGACTACCAAGAATTAGAAAACTTGCTTAAAGGATATAGTCCAATTAGGCGGTGAAAAGTGTCACCAAACCAAATCGATAATTGCGACGCTCATATGAAAAAGAGACAATTTTCGCCAAGAAACGAGTGTCAAAAAATAAATGATCGCAACTCTGTGGGAGCAGCACCCTGTTCCGTTCGCACGTTCACAACAACATCGCTTCACTCCCGATGTTCCCACGTGGAAAGAGACGGGTGCGCTCCTCCCGTGCCCCGATTTTTGCTCCTTCACAATAGCACCAGTTTGCGTCACGCACCACCAATAGGAAGGTAGTAATATGAAAATAGTGGTAATGGTACTGGTGACAGCTACTATTTGTGAATTCCCGAGATAGCATACCATTTCAATTGACATTTCTGTGAAAAATGCATTAACTGATTTATTGTTTTATTTATTCGAATTTGGGTTATTTAGAATATGTTTGCGTTCTTCTGGTAACTCTTATTAAATAGATCCCTGTCTGTTCACTTCTTCATTACCTAAAAACTCAAATCGAACTGACAGAAGTGGCCATAAAACTGTAAAGTCCCTCCGAATGAAGGGCAACGCAGCTCACCTGCCGTAGGCGAAGCGCCGGTCCTTCTCGTGGTCGCCGAACGTGTCCCACAGGCGCAGCGACACGTTGACGCCGTCCACGACCTCCCAGGAGCGCTCCAGCACCTGCCGGACACACCCCGCTCTTAGCTAAAGGTGGAGGAGCACATTTGCTCTCGGGTGACAAGGAAATCGCAAAGAAAAGGCAAGGGAATGTTAAAAGTAATTTAATAAAAATCATTAAGTGTTTCAAATATTGTGTATCACATATGTAAACTTCTGGACAAAATATTTTTACTCAGATTTTACAAATAAAAAAAAAACCACACAAAAAGCTGAACGCTGCATTAATATTTCCACTTTTTTCTATTTTTTTTAAAAAATTTTCCTTTTTTATCAATTTGTTGAAGTTAAAAGCAAGAACGTAAAGCCAGTGCTCGCGTCGGACGGATTTCGCAATTGCTGATTACTCCGAAACGACTACACTAGTCAAAACCGAAACGAAAGAATGACTTGAAACAACCGTTTGTGGGAAGACACTGAAAATTACGTGACTGTTAAGGCTAAAAATATTAAAAAGAAAAATAAATTGGCGCGGACTCGAGCCCGCGCGCGAGCACTGCTCGGTTGAGACCAGGGATTCGCAACCTGTTTCGTGCACGGGCCTCTTTAACAAGATTATTGGTAGAACAAGGGGCGATCCAAAACTGACATATTGAGGGTTTTACTAGGTCTTTCATAATATAACTCAGTAGATTTTTAAACTCTGAAACACAGTGTGTTTGCATATACGTCCATACAGGATTTAATTAACACATTACACTAAAAGAATAATATTTGAAGATGTATTTAATGCTAATAACTCAATTTCACAAAAATATGGAATAGCCCTTGTTCTGCGGAGCCCTTCAATTATTTGCTTTGTCGATTCCCTTGCATTTGTTTCTACAGTGCACAGCATTCAAAATTGTAACCCAAATGCTCGTAAATGACTTACAGATAATAATTCCGTACACCAATATTTTCGCACATATATTTCCAATTGTCGGAGACGTTTCCGCTTTTGAGTAGCGTAGTTTCTAATTTTCATAATTTTGCATTGGTTACAAAATGTCGAGAGTTTTTAAGAACTGAACATCACATTTTTGCAGAGCACAATGCGAAGAATATTTTCTTACGCGACAGTAATGTTATCAACATGTAGTTATTATTTCTTGAGTTTTCTAAACATCCAAACGATGAACCATTATTTCGAAAGAAACGGAGCAAATTTGTAATTTACTATTAGATCTTTTGAACAAAATCATTAATAAGAAAATAATTATGTATCAATTTCATCAATATATTTAGTAACGAATCGGCCCTGGATCTTGATTATATCCGATTGACTGCCTTTAAAAACTCATCGACCTTCAAGGGATCAATACCGACCCCGCTGAGAAACCCCGATTTAGATCGACAGATTTTGGCCTTATAACGGAACACAAACCATGAGTACGAGGCTTCAAATGGGAAGTAATGCAAAGAGTAACAACTCATCAATCCCCTGAAGAATCAACTTAGAAGATAGCCCCAAACTGGAACTCAAGAAGGTAATTATGGGGAGACACCATAAAAGATAAAGACAAGTTAAGGAGAACGTAACAAGGAGGGTATCAAAACTGCAAATAGGAGATAGACAGTGAAGATAAAAGAAACGTGGCCAACCCAGAAGGGTTTTACTATTCACGTAAAAGTTACACAAACAAACCGTAACATCAAGAACTATTTCATTTCCATGAAGAGCAAAGGTCTTTTTTCGTGTCGACATATGCCAGCTGTGTGGGGAAGGAATGCGTGTTATTCCCCCGCGGCAACTCATTCCGGACGGGGAGGGAGAGGGTAGGACTAGAAAATGGCGCGAGGTTCGTGGCCCGGTTGCAAAGGGCGCTGCTCAGCATTCGCCTGGCGCTGATCAAGCAAACCGCGATCACAGCAGTGGAACTACGAACTCCATCCCGGCGGGGGCTCGGTTTTGTATGTTGAACATACAAAGAATTTGTGGCACCTTTCCAAGATCGAACCCGCGACCTCAGTTAGCAGCACTCTTGTCGCGTTATCTTAACAAGACGCTGATTAGAAACTTTAGTGTAACCAATAAAACATTTTATTTTGCTCAAATAATTCAGTTCAATTATTCGAAACTCTCCTCCATTAACACATCCACGTTCATAGTAAGATTAATTTGTTGTATTACAATAGAGTCTAACTATTGATCTTCACTTTAATATCACATTTTTGAACTCATTACTTAAGTGGTATGCATAAGTGCATAATATTTAAGAAATGGGGTAAACATTTGTATCCTACTCTTTGGTTGATATGCAGCATAATATTGTATTCAGCTGCCCATTTCCCCAGTTTAGCAAAACAAACAGAACGCACTGTTCCTGGTTGCATTTTCATTCTCACAGCACAAGTTCCGGATTCGGGAGCAATCGATTGGGCTGGTGCGTTCTTGATACGGATCAGAGAAGGGGCAATGACGAAGGTCGGAGGCAATTCTCATTAAGTTTGCTAGCGTTTCCTCTTCTAGAAACATCGCGGAGGAAGACTGGTGAAGACGTATCGCCCACTCCACCTTTCGCTTGACGCAGCTCCAGAGAAGGCAAAAGGCTTCCTCCTGAAATTATTTGAGCGGGTTTCCTTCAGCCTTTGGTTCGTGCTTCCCCAAGAAACGCGACTACTTACGAGAAGGGAGGGGGAGAGGAGGACGATGAGCAAGAAAGTATTACTGAGATGTAATGAAAATTAGCCGAGTGTGGTGTAACTCTCTCCCAAACACGCGCGGCCAAAATATTTTACTGAGTGGGTCTCGAATTTGTACCTTCTCTCAGAAGCGGAAAACGCGAGCTGCACGAAGCCATACGCAACCTAAAGCCAGAACGACAGAAACACGATATACACTTTCACTTTAATGACTTTTGAGTTCGTCCTTGCAAGAAAGTACTTACATGAAATCATTAAAATATCGCTGATTCAGTAATTGGAATCCACCGACTACCAGAGCATTATTAGATTGCAAGTCCTCAATTAAAATAAATTATTTTCTTCAAACGAATATTGCGTCACCAGATCTACAATAACTTTATGCGTTCCCTTTCCTCAACTTCAGCCATTATACCTGCATTACCATTATACATGCAGCCTATTTCCACGTTTTTATTATCTTGAATGATAATCACATAGCTAATTCAACTTCTAAACACTTTTACACACTTTCGCACGTCCCTATAAGTCGAACCTTTTTTTTACTTATGTGCTCTGCAACCACCAAATATTTCATCAGCAAACACGGACTTCATTTATAACATTGTTATCTGTATTTCACACGCTTGTATTTTTATAACTCTTCTTATTCAACAATTGTTTAACTCATCACAAAAACATTTCACCTCTGCCAAAAAAACTGTTTTGTCGTCGCCAGGAAGCGGGAGATCAGCGCTCGTTGCACCTAGCGAGTCTTCCCCCATCAAGTTCCCACCTGGTCCAGATGGAATTTTGTCCGTCCCGTCCGTCCCGTCCGTCCCGTCCGTCCCG